TCTAGACACGGACCATGTTTCCGAACCGGTAGTATGGACGCTAATCRACGCGTCTAGACGCTGCAAGTTTAACTCGTAAGTACCTTATTAACAGTCAGTGGCGTCAAAATAAGAGCAAAAGTCTATAGCAGTGGTGCGCAACCTGGGGGTARCAAAATTTTATTAGGAGTCTCCAATAGTTTAACACCGAATGAAAAACTTGTACACTATGCATATTATATTATATAAAAATACTATACATTTACATAATTCTGGTAGGAATGAGGTCACCTCGTCGAAATGAATTAATTTGAGAGTCTTGGATTAAAAAAGGTTGTGCCCCACTGGTCTATATAGTCTACACTCTATACCAGGGGTGGCTACTAACCTTTATTTTGGGAGCCGCAAATTTATGAAGCTATTTTGAAGTGAGCCACTTTGTTAAGATAGGTAGTAGGTATGTTTATATAAAATGAAAATATATTTTTGATTTTATAGCAAATAAAGGAACATTCATTTTTTACACTACACAGAGCATAATTGTTCAGGYAGTAAGATAGTAGGTATTAATAAATGGGATTTTACTTTTGAGGAGTATTTTTTATATTATAATATGAATTAATTTTACTCTAAGCTTAGTTTCAACTTTCAACAGTCACACGTGACTCACTCGGAAGCCGCATGCGGCTCGCGAGCCTCGTTGGGGCCCCTCTGCTGTATACCAACCTCGAGATTTCGTTACTAGTTGATAGTTCACCAATATTTTGTATGGTAATTATCTTGTTATATTTAGCTAAAATACCACGAAAATATTTAATGTCTAACGCTCATTTATTGCCACGCCTGTAAAGCTATCTCTGCAGAAATCCGTGCACCAAAATATTAGCCAGTTAGAATAATATGTGCATTGTACACTCACGTATAAGCGAAAGCTTTTCCTTTCCACTTGGCGTTGATTTCCTTTACGGTCTCCACATTAGACTTCTCGTTGATGTCAACGCACACCACTTTGGCAGACACGTCGGCAAACTGCATCGCCAAACATTTCCCTATTCCGTGCCCTGTGCCTGTGATCTATAGGTACATACAAATAYATAGTATATTGTAAATGAGTTAACGCACTGAAAAATGCAACAAAATAATTTCTCGAATAATTGTAATGAAWKWTWMWTTKKTTWAAWT